GTCAATAGAAAAATATTGAATTGCAAATATTTCAAAAACTACTAATTTTCGGAATAGGTATCCTTACACAAAATTACCCTTGTTTCAAATGCTTGATACGATTAAATCATAAAAATAGGGGGTTTCCATTTGAAAAAACTCACTTTAGATAGTTTGTTAAATTTCATTTATGTTCTTCTTTTTTGACCACCCTGTATCAATGAATATTGAAATTTCATATAAAGTCTATTGACTTTGTTTTCCCTCTACAAGGAACCCGACCAAAACATAATGATAAAGGCTTCCTTATAGGAAAATTTGATTAGTATTGTAAGGTCTGCAAACATCATTTTCGACATATAAACTTAAATATGTCAAAGACGGTAAAACTTCTGATGTAGAATCTAGAAATGTAATAATATATAGGGTGTTCCATTTAAAATAACGAAGTTGACAGCTACTTCCGGTATAACTGGAACAAGTGCATTTTTTTACTATGAACTTCAATTCTTTTATACAAAGGTCTTTCCACTCACTAGGCAAAGTGCTATGAATTAAAAAAAATAATTCTGTTTGGCTTTGTTCTGATAATGCATCTTCGGTAGCCTGATGATGTCTTTGTGTTTTGTGTCATGATTGTGAATCCTGGAGAGTCACCATTAGATTCATTTTAATTTTTATGTACAAACAATATTGTTTCTAGAATAAAAATGGAAGGTAAAGTAAGAATGCCCCATTTAATAAAGATTGGTTTAGCATGGGTTTTGGAATCTACTTTTTATAAATCTCTCATTACGTTTTTTTAGAGAATGGACCTAGTTATTATACATTGGTATAGTCAGTTGTAGGCTATTTTACTTGTGTTTGGTCACATCATATCAACAGTCTAGAGAGAGTTCAAAATGAATACTCAAGATATTCTGCCTTTGAACTGAAAATATCTCCCAATATTTTTTTCTATCTATAACACTGATCTTCAAATGCTTGTAACGTATATGCTAACATTATATTTCACCACAAAATACTCAATTCTAGAACTGTTCAGGAATTCTTAGCAAATAAATTGTCATGTTCCTCTTCGAAAAACACATAGTATATAGTTATTCACCACTGAATACTGTCATATAGGCAATTATAAAAACATTCTCCTTTATTTTGATTTGAATCATTCGCCTGATGAAAATCTTTGAAGTAAATTACTACCGAGATTACTACCCACTGTCTTGAATTTAATTTATACTTTTTTCTGTTATCTATATTGTGTAATTATTATTATTAACCAGAATAAGAATAAGTCCCAATTTAAATTCTACCTTCTAGGATCAGATTTGAGTTTTTGAATGTTAACACTATGACATTTTTCATGATATATAATTTAATTTTATCACTTTCTGTATATCTAGCAGAAAATAATTTCACTCCAGAATTGTCTTCTTCTTAAAATATTTATTGTTCCTTTCATTCAGAGGAAATTATCACGAGTTGGATAGAACTGGCTGATATTTGATGAAAATCCATCTTAACATTAACAGAAATAATTACCTGTAAGATTTTCATTATAAATAGTTTTGCAAAACCATGACGCGTGTCGTGGTTACACTTTACTGTTGGATTTTCACTGTGAAGGGTGTTATAAAACTGCAATACATATTTCGCTGTACAATAGCTTCCTCAAGTGAAAATGAGGAAGTTAGTGTATAGCAGAATATGCGTCATGGTTTTTCTAAAACCCTTTATTATGAAAGTTATGACGTAAATTGTATCAGTAAGTGAAAGGAATTATCATGTTTCTACATGGATAATAATACCGAATTCCGTGTTCGTAATTAGCTGTTTTTGAGAACACACTTCTAACATATTCTTGTCACTGAATATTTTCAACACATTACTAATTTGAATATTTGTGAAATTATAATGATGTCTAAATTCATGGAAATATATTTTGACTCAGAAAAAGGAAAGTATTTATCGATGGCCACTTGTCAGATTTTACATACAGTTGGTACAAAAAAAAATTGTTTTGTATAACTCACCAAGTTTTTTGATCATTACAAACGTTTTTTAAGGAATTTGTCTGGTAACCTCCTTCAGTCATTCTCACCCAAAGTGGAGCTGATAACCCTTCAGAAATTGTGAGTTTTGTGCCATTTCTGCGAATATCTACTGATGCAGCCTAATTTTTTTCAGAGATTTGAGTAGAAACCAGTTGACTGAATTGCAGCCGCATCAGTTTAGTGAAGTTCCAAATTTGAGGAGACTAGATTTATCTGAGAATGCAGTCAGCCATATTGATTTATTAGCTTTTGATAAATTGAGGCATTTAGAAAGACTGAAATTGAATGGAAATAAAATAAGCACCATTATTTTGGGCACATTGGAGCCCCTAGAAAAGATTGAACAACTGTATGTATTTTATGAATAGAAAATTCAGAGCTTTCTCTGAATCATTGATTTATTTTTCAGGGACATATCAAATAATCCCCTCAATTGCGACTGTGGTTTACTATGGCTCCACGATTATAGTCAGAAGCAAAAAGTTAAACTTGTGTCAAATCCTAAATGTTCATCTCCATCAACGTTCAAAGGTCGCCCATTACGGAAACTACGAATTGGCGATGATATTCACTGCAGATCACCTGCTAGTAATAGTGGATCGTTTGCCATTGAACTGAGCCCTAATGAAAACCAAGTTGTTTTCGAAGGAGATCCATTATCCCTTCATTGTGATGCTCCAAGTATATCAGATTCACCTGAGGAACACTTGCGTTTTGGCTTACAATGGACCTGGCTCGAATCTGACCCCAAGCTAAATTTTTCTGATATTCGAATTATTAATGATACATTGGGAAGTGCAGGCCGAATATCTAGTACTCTTACTGTTCCTAGATTGAGAAAAAAACATACTGGAATATGGAATTGTGTTTTCATATCCATACATGGAAATCATTCTAAGAGTGTAGCCATTGTTGTCATATCTGATGATACCAAATACTGTCCGATGACGCTCACATCCAACAACAAGGGAACATATAATTGGCCCCGAACAATTGTTAATCATACGGTTTCTATACCATGTGAGTCTTTGAACTTGAATTATGATGTAACACATCAAAAAGCTTTTTACACGTGCAAGGATAATGGAGAATGGTCAAATTTGAATACTACAGAATGTTCATACATTTCGGATACCACCAAAATTCTTCTGCAGTTTTCTAAAGTCAATACGAGTATAGAGGAGAGTGCTAAACACTTCAGAAATTATACGTCAAACATATCAATTTTTAAAGATATAATGGATTTGTTTTATGCAGTCCTGACAATTGAAAATTACATTATATATGCACCGCCAGAGCATGTTGGAACCATTGGTAGTATTTTGATGGATTCTGCAAATAATTTGATGGAACTTCCAATGACTTACATCAGTAAAACAAATTTAGAATACAGGATTTGTGAAAAGCTGGTTAATGCAACAGAATCTATTGCAGTTCTTAGTGCTTCTAATTTGCATAAGGTAAAAAAAGTTATATTTTTATAAAAGTATATTAGGGTATTCTATAAAGATGTCAAGTTTGTCAGTATTGTTATCGATTGCTTCATGCTTTGAAAAGGATTATTGAGAGATTTGATTAGTTCGAAAGGAGGAACAATTGAAACTTATTAATTTAGTTTTGTAGTTATGTATCTGGTCAGGATTGCAGGCCACACTGGCTTGAAAGGAATGAAGCTGCTTGACTCCCTTGCCAGGGAGTGTGTTGCAATCTGTCGTTGGCATCACTTAGGAGTTTGACAAACAAACAGTGAATACCTGAATTGCAAGTAGAGTTTTAGACTTATGTTGAAATCTATCAGGATTGGGCTACTTTAAGGCGTTGACATTTTGTCACCAAACAATTGTTAGATTATAGCAAGGATGATCTTTTAATTACATATGATAATACTGACCAATATTTGATGAAAATCCATTATTATACAGTATTAAAAAAAACTCTTCAATGTGAGATTTCCTTTTGACTGTTTACAAAACCGTGACATGTGTTTCTATATGCAATAGAATCTTCAGGCATCACAATACTGGCTTGACAAATTTTATGTCATGCTTTTATAGTAATTTGAATCCCAATGAATAATATCACCTGACAAATTGAAAGAATGGAAGAGCATAGAAGTAGTTTTTTGAATGAGAAGACCAATTCAACATTTGCAAACTACCTTCTTACAGAAACGCACATGTTCAATCACAATTATGACATGTTACATTTGGAAGAGAAAGGTTTAAGATTCAACCTTTTGGAATGCTCAGAAGTCAATAGATTTAAGAATTCTGGATTATTGCTTATTGATCAAACACATTTGAATTGTTCCCCTTTACTGAATTCAGTTTGAAATGAGGAAATTGTTATTTAGGATAGATATTGAAAGTATGTAAAATGAGGTATCGTAAAACTTGTATTCATTATTCTCCAGTTTAATGAGTTGTTTCTAGAAAGCTAAATATTTTATGTGATGAATTTATCAGGTAGAAATTTGTCAGGCAGTAATAGTCATTAGGATTCAAATGACTATAAAAGTATGACACAAACTTTGTTTATTCAGTATTGTGACGCCTGAAGATGTTATTGTACATCGAAACAAGTGTTGGGATATCGTAAACTTTCAAGTGGAAATCTCATATTAAAATGTTTGAATACGTTATATTTACATATACTTGTTGATGTCCACACCTATCAACTTCAAGACCAATGTCCCAAATTGGAGAAACACTATAATTTTTTCTTGATATGCTATCAAACTAGATACCATTGTAGATATAGTATAACAAAACTTATTTGAACAAAAATCCTTCGTAACCTCCTGTAATATTGAAAGGGGGTTAAAATGTGTATTTGTATTTACCTATTTATTAAACCTTTTACCTTTCAAGAAATTATGTCAACAAGCACTTAACCTGACATCATAAGCAAAACCTGCTGCGATTCTTGATAATTTCTGTCAGATTATCCATTAAATATATTTATCATTTCTTACACTTCTTCAGTGTTGAAGAGGTACTGATGCTTTCGTACAGGCCAGGAGATACAGTATTGTATTCACTGGGGGAAAAGTGCCAAATTCATTGGAAACACCAATTTTCCACCTTCAAGCAGATACTATTTGATGTAGAACTACTTGAATATCAAAGTAACATACTATTTTTCATGAAGATTTCAGCTCAATGTGATGCAAATATTGTCTGAAAAGAGGAGAAAAATAGAATAAATATCTAGAAATACTAATTGAACTCAGTTGATTTTCCCATTCCATTCTGGTGCAATAGTCGTTCTGATCGGACGGTAGCCGGTCGGTTCGACGTGGGTGCTTTGTTCACTCACTCAAATCGACCGCCGTGTTGGTCAGTGGTTCAAGCCCCAGGCTGAACGATCGATTTTCACTTGCTATCGTCCAACCCGTGTTAGAAATTACACGTTAAAAGGTAAGACCTCGTTAGTATTTGGCTCGCACAAGTTTCGACTTCTGAGAGTTGTCGTTCGTAGGGCTGCGACAGCTGGTTAACGGAAAAACAGATTTTAAACAGACTGAGATCATTTGAAGACTATTTTCTAATTTTNAATACAATCTTTGAAATCCCATTTTTCCCCCATGGGCGTGGAAATTCCTGATTCCTTTTCTTGATGCTCTTTTTACGCAATACAAAGAACCTACCTGCATATTCCAAGATTTTAGGTCCAGTAGCTTCGACTGAACGTTAATATAAGAGTATCGGTTAATCAATAGGTACCCACTTATATAATACTAGCTGTTCCCCAATGTTTTACCGACATTACCGTGGGAACCTACCCTATGTGTTATTCCAGGTCATGATCTATCTATATACCAACTTACAGTGAAATCCCTTGAGCTGTTTCCGCGTGAAAAAGTAAAAAACGTAAATACATACGTTACATTTACCCATCACAAACTTTTCGTATTTATAATATTAGTAGAAGTAGTTTTAGTAGGATTACCAATGTATTTCATTCTAATCCTTTCAGTTTTTTTTTCTATTCAATATTGTTTAAGTGGGTACCTATTGATTGACTGACTGACACTCTTATATTAACATACAGCCGAAGCTACTGAACCTAGAATCTTCAAATATGCCGGTAGGTTCTTTGTATAACGTAAATGAGCATCAAGAAAGGGAATCAGGAATTTCCACCCCCGAAGGGGAAAATAGGGGTTCAAAGATTGTATTGACTTTCGTTGGTTTTAAAGTTGGAAACCTGAAATTTTGGGTTAATAAAAAACCTAACTATTTGTTTGAAATGGTCTGTCACTAAACTTAATGTGACAAACCAAATTCTACGCAGGCGAAGCCACAGGCAACAACTTACCTATTCAACTATTTATTTGAATATATCTTATCATTTTGAATTCATTAATTACACATAATTTATTTTTTAAATCTTTTCGTCTCTGAATATCATCATCGTAGAGTATCTTTCACTAAACACACATAGTATCTCTAAAAATGGTATATTTAGGGAAGGGAAAGAGTATAATGGTCACATCGTCAATACTTATTTCATTGCTCTTGACAATGATTTCTGATCTTCAAGAGGAAGATCTTCCTCTTGAAGATTTTCACATGGTTATCAAAACACGTGCCGAGGTGTTAAAATAATGGTTTGGTGTTGGGGAAAAAACTCCAGTAATATTCATTACTACACCAAAGGTACCAAACAGTGCATTAAAAGAATGAAATTATTCACAACCTTAGAGTTGTATATCCTCAAATATCTCAGTCACGACTCTCCTGTTTTTTCGCTGTTACTTAATTTTTTCGACAAACTCTGTTGTAAAGATTGGTTTAGCTTTCTCATTAATTTTATCAACGTCGTTATGTAAACCTTCTAAAAGATAACAAAGGAACTCCTGGGCTTCTTGATGCGCATGATCCATAAATCGAGGGGCATAACTTTGAATCTTACTTTTTGAAGTGACTGTGTTCACTACTCTATCAGATGAATCTTCTGACCATAATTCCTTGATAACTTCTCATCCCCCTAGAACTCCAAATTCAAATTTAACAGAACGAAATAAATTTTTTAATGGTACCAAAAGCAACGAGGCGAATGCCACCATCTTTTTTATGCTTTTTAAGTACAATGACGGGCACTTCATCAGGGCCAGAAGCCTTGTTGATATTCAGCTGTTTAAAAATTCGCCTGACTAGACGCTGCCGAAAAGTAATTTCCGGCATTGTGGATTCTAGTGTGGGAATAGTGGGTGGTGCCTTACCCAGAAAATCGACTGTGGAGTGGGACGCAAATTGTTCAGCTAGTAGATTTGCTTTTTCTGTGGCTGTTGTTGCAATTGAACCATCCGTGGAACCATGGTGGAATTGTGGATTTTTTAAAGTTCTGATTAACAGCTTTAGCTACCGACCAGAAGGATCGAGACCCGTTGGGATTGGCCCCCCCATGCCCCCTCCCGGGTTGAGTGAGCTGAAGTAGAAGCTTTCCCCCCAGCTATTTAGCGAGGAGAACTTACTACCCCACTCCATCCACCCCCGCTTTCCGAGCGGTCCTCAACTTACTGATGGGCACTTCAGCAAGATTGACATCTGACCTCTTTTGGTCGAAAGTCAGAATTTAGGTGCTATTCTTTCGCGATCGGTAAAAAATATTTTGTCATGACTATTCCTAACTGAATTTTTGCAAGGGGGCGCCCAAAAACTAACCGGCGGCTATTGTTGTTAACGTCGGGCGTTCCTCAGTGAATCTAAGGATTATAAATCAGGAAATATACCACTAGCTAGGAATTTGTTGTATAAAAGAAAAAGTGGATATGATAATGAGTAAACACATTGTTTCAACAAGCATGAAGGAACTCCGTCTGGGTCACTAGATAATGTATATTTCATCATACAAATGGCTTCAAAAACACTAGACAGTTCGAAAGCACAAATAGAGAGATTAATTGTATTATCACATTTGAAATCATTTATAAGGAAAGGATCTGATTCTACATGACTGTTGAGAAAAATTCAGCAAAATAGTTAACTGTGCTATGGATATCTGTAGAAAGATGTTCATTATATGTCATTGAGTTAGGTATATCATTTGAGTTTGTTTTGTCACTTACATACTTCCAAAAATATTTCGGATCATTATTTAGGTTTGATTCGATATTGTTTAAGTAAGCTTCATAGCAGACTTTCATGAGATATTTACATTGAGATCTTAAACGAGTAAACAACATGTAATCCTCATTGCGGTTGTGAATTTTGAATTGACAGATGAAATATGTCAAAAAGAAATCTATCTGAGAAAATGAATTGAAAATGCTGTTTTACTTATATATCAACATGGCCACCATCAACTTTTTTTTAAATATGAACCTTTTTTTTTATAGATATTGATAAAGCAATAAATTCACAATCCAAGGGTGTATCACATTTAATATTTTTATAATGTTTCATTTGAAATAACTATCCTCATCAGTGAAAACAATTTTAAATGACAGTCTCGTCGTTACTCCTTTTGCAAATTGTTTCGATTTCTTCAAAATATAATTCAGACAACCCAAAAAATTCGACAGGTAGGTACCCTAACAATGAAAATTCGTACTTTTTCGTTTTGTAAATTTTTGTATTGCCGTAATTTTTTTTTTCAAGGCTCATTTCTCCCTAATCATTTATAATTCGTAATATTTGTATAATTCTCAATCCTGGAAGTAACGAAAATATCAGTTTTTGGTCAAAATTCGATTGTTGTATAATTTGGTATGATCAAATAGCATCTCAATTCATTTACCATCTTAAATGAGTAGGCTTTGCTTGGTATCTACGGCAGGAAAAATGAATGCGTTGTAGATATCAACATGTTTAGACGATTAGAAAGAAAGTTGAGGGACCCTAGTGGGGTATTTGACAGAAAGAAAACAAGAAAATGTGTGGTTACTGGAAGTGTGAGGATTGAAATAAATGTTATGGGTAAGGGTTTTTTAAATTTAGGATTGGCCAGTTACAAAAATTCTGCTAATCAAGATTGTTCTTTACGAGAAATTGCCCATGAAATGGGGATTTCTGTAAAATCCACCAGAACTATTTTGAAAAAGAACAAATATAAATGCTACAGGATAGGCAAAGCTCATCACCTTGGTGAAATGGATTACTGAACAGAAATATCCATTATAGGTAGAATAATACAAATGAACATTCCCAAGAAAGATTCGGAACAAATGTTTGGTTGAGAATTGTGGGAACAAACATCCTTGGCCCTTTTTTTTTACTATGATCATTTGAATAGTGAAATGTATCTTCATTTTCTATTCAATGAATTCGATGGCTACTTAGATGAATTGCCATTGAATATCCGCCATGCAATACATTATTTTCAATAGGATGGCGCTCCTCCCCATAATGCAGCAATAGTAATTGAACATTTAGATGCAATATTTCCAAGAAAATGGATTGGAAACAATGGACCAATCTAAAGGAGTACGATCCCCATATCATATTCCTCTAGATTTTTTATCTGGGGAAACATGAAGGATTAAGTATTTTCAACACCAGGTACAAATATTGATCATCTCAAACAAAAAATAAGAGATGCATGTATTAGTAATACCCTTATTATGTTAGATAATTGTCACAGAAATTGTCTGGACCGACAACTTATCTGCAATCAACAAAGAGGTTGTCAATTCGATTGCCATGTAGCTTTGATTTTCCGTATTGGTTTTATTTTTTCCAAAAGTTCATGATGAAATAAATTGTTTTTCTATTTGATTGTTGTCACTGATGATGGTGGTTATTTCAAATGAAACGCTATAAAAATATCAAATGTGATATACCCTTGGATTGTGAATTTATCGCTTTATCAGTATCTGTAATGAAAAAGACAGGTCCGTATTAAACAAAAATATGTTAGTCATGTTGACACGAAACGTTTTATCGAATGTTTATTATTACATCGTCATAGTACATTTCGAATACAATAACATTTTCCTTTTCCATTTTTTGATATTTTCCGAAATAACAATTCCATTCAAAAAAAACGAAAAACAGCATTTTTTGTTTTCCCCGTATAACTCGAGAAGGGCGAGAGTACCCGTAAATTTTCTTTCGACCATTGTATTGTTCCCGATGACAGTTACGTTTTTTCCCATTTGATCGTCTAATTGTAACTTTTGCTTAAATTTTGTATTTCAGACTTTTCATTCAAATTACTTTGAGTGTTAATAATATGTGCCATTTCAAGAAACAATCTTTTAATTTTGATATTTTCAACAGCTAAAATTTTTGTATTATTATATAGACTCCATGACGTGACCCTTCGAAATAATATACTCTGCTAATCCATTAGAATGTTTATTAAGTAAACAGTCACTTTTGTGTGAGAGAATTCGTGATGAAAGATTACGAGTCGTCTCATTTATATAAAAAGAATTGCGGGATGAATAAGAAATCATTTAGTAGTTCTTTGTGGAAATTATGTTTGAGGAAAAAGAATCGTTGAATCAAGCAAACATTCTTTTAGTACCGGTTGATTATTTGAATATATGTTATTTCAAAAATGATTGCATTGGGGTGATTTGAATGAATATTTATTCAAAAGCATTGTTGAATATGATTTATGTATTGAAATTTTGTTCAATATTTCAAATCAAAATTAACAGAATTTGGAAGAGATAATTTTAATAATTTTGAACCACTTCTAGCGGTTTTACCGCTGAATGTTGCTGAATCCTATCCAGGATAAAATTAAAACAACGCAGCGCTTTCCGTTTTTTAACCATAGGCACAACCAATGTTCTACAGAATTCAATTCTTACACTATTCATCAACATGGGTACAAAGTTGGGCAATTTTTCTCAGTCGCATCGAGAGTTCTTGACAAAACAACGAATCGCTGAAAACACCAGGTTTTTATGTATCTTGGTTTTGCCTAAGTTACTTCAACATGAAATCTGTGCAAATTATAAGAGTTATATATTTTGTTGAGGGGGTATTTTCGCCTTCTATGATTTAAAAAAGTAAAAATTTTTAATGAGATTTAGAAAAGACTAATCTTCCAGTTCACCATAATAACTGTTGCTTAAACATCACCATACATTTTTTAAAGAAAAATATCTTATTTATCAGGAACGTGTATTTAAATTTGCCAATTATAAAAGAACCTTATTTTGATGATTGGGAGACAAAATTGAAGAATGAAAAGAACTGCTAATGGCTTTTAACTTTTGTTACAGTTTCTGAAGGAATAACGAAAAAAACATGTGTGCATCATTTCATTTTTAAGCAATACTGCTTCATTAAAATGAGGAAGAATCGAATCATTTGAAATGTTTTACTGCATGAACTCATTTCTATTTATTTTCATATTTAATATATTCAAATTAGCTTATCTTATATCTTATATTTCATCTTATTATAAAATTTACTTTCAGTGGACCTAATCGTGAAAAATCTTACTGAACCAATTTTTGTAATGCTTCGGACCCCATTCACACCAGTGTATGAGGTAACACCTTTCACTCCTGTATGGTGGGATTCGTCTTCAAATAATGGCTCCGGAGGATGGTCCTCAGAAGGATGTCAGTTCAGGCATCAATTGCAAGATCACGTGGTATTTTCTTGCGAAAATTTTGGTTACTATGGTCTCTTGCAAGACGTTACCTATGTTGAGGCTATGAATGTTGGTGGCAAGTTCAAACTGTCACATCCAGCTATATATGTGGGAACATTCATTTTATTTACATCATTTTTAATAGTTATTCTTACTTATTTGTTGTGTTATGTAAGTATTCAGATGCCCAAAAAAGCTAAGCATTCATTAATTAACATGTGGATAGCTATATCTCTGCTTTGTTTCATGTATGTGTTTGGAATTTATCAGACGGAAGATGTAAAAATTTGTCAAATGGTGGGAATGATACTGCACTATTTTACGTTATGTTCTCTCCTCTGGATGTGTGTTGGTGTAAATTGTATGTACAAACGACTGAGCAAAAATGATATTATTAGTCTTCAAGACGATGACTTGCCATCAGATCGACCGATTCAGAAACCAATACTGGGCCTTTATCTAGTTGGTTGGGGAATTGGATTAATCATCTGTGGTTTGTCAGCTGCTATCAACATGAATGAATATGCCTCATCAACTCATTGCTTCCTGAGATCTGGACCTGCTCTCAGTGCTTTGTACATACCATTTTTCATACTGTTGATTTTTATCTTTGTTTTATTTTTATTAATAAGGTGTGCCATATACAACATCGACACTAATGGGCATTTGAGTGAAGGCACGCAAGCTACTGAACATGTTGACTTAGATTTATTGGAGCCCAACTTTCCAAACATAGATAGTCAAAGCTTCAGAAGTGTATCTACTAAAACTGGTTCCAGCGAGGTTGAAGATCCTGAGCATGCTCCTTCTGCACAGCTGAAAGCCCATTTGATTTTTCTCTTGATTTATATAATGACGTGGCTCAGTTGTGCATTTGCTACAGTACCGCCTTTCCATATAGTCTCATTTGAAGAAGATTTATTTAGCATCGCTTTTGCTGTTTCGGCAACCACTCTTGGAGCATTTACCTTATTTTTCTATTGCGTGGCACGGAATGATGTCCGCACCCAGTGGGTTGTTTTTGTGAGATGGATGAAACGTAAACGAATTTGTTATGTTCGATCCAGAAGCATTTCTGATACCATTCTTAACATTCCTCAAATACAAATTCAGCCGTTACCGTTGCCACCGGTTTGCGAAATTGATAATCATATAATATCAAGATCAACCAGCAGGAGTTCCAGTCATACCAAATCGAATTCTCATGCCAGTAATATTCTGAAAGGTGCTGTGGATTTGAACGGAAGTTTTAGTGACAACCAGACTGGAGCAAAAATAAACAATGTTAACTTGGTCGTACTCCATAGAGCACAATATAGATCCAATACCATTCCTAACATCATAGAAAATCCAACTAACGCCGCTGTAGTATTTTATAATCCTCATCAGAGTACGGTGGCAAGAAAGTTTTTCAAACGACAAAAAAGGAATATGTTGAAAAAAAATAATTTGTCCAAGCCACCAAGGGATATCAACAGTGACACTGCATCAGTGTTTTCAGAACCTAGGTTGAAAGTGAGGAACAGCTCTAACCAAAATATTTTCGGAACTAATTCTAAAGTTAATAATACAAATATTCATGTAGAACATAAACAGAGGATTCAGCAGAAAAATCCTAACATATTCTCAGACAGTGCTGATGAATTTGATTCGGTTGCTAATATACCAGTGGAAAAAATGCTCATTGATGCTGAGAGGTTAGGAAAAAAAGATTTAATCAGACAAAAAATGAAGAAAAAGCATAATATTCCTTGTAAACAAATTTCTGAAAAAGCCGAAAATAACATGAGGTCAATTTCACAGCAGTGTACTCTGGAATACAGTTCTGAAACAATTTCTGATTCTGTTTTGGATAAAACCAGCCCAGAAAAGACGTTGTTACCTAACCAGGAGAGTTTTCTAACCGAAACAAGTGGGGCTATCCCTTCATTTCGACGGGAGAATAGTCCTTTCAGTATTCTGACAGAAAATGATCCCAATTATTGTCAAATAAATGATCTGAGGTTAGATAGTGTGCGGAGAAACCAATATTTTCCTAAATCTAGCCACGGTGCATTTGGAATTGAAGGTAATAAAAAACCATCTGAGCTCAGCTCAAGTGCAGTAGAATCTATGTGTGGAAATTCTACCCGTCGAATATATATCAACCCTTCTCACGACTTGAGATTGGGTAGAGCTGATGGTCAAAGTAGAGCTAGTAGTGTATCAGTAAGTGATCTAGATGAACTTTATCAACAGATCAGGAGAGGACCACAACCCAAAAGATCAAGAAACCTTTATAGCTTGTCACGTGCTAGCCCCTGTCTCTCTGATTCTGAGATCAATTCATTTGTGAGTGATGTAAATCAGCTTCGCATTACATCACACAGTCATGATGACTTTGATCATTTTAGTGATGTAGAAACAACAGTATAGCATATGCAAGTTGAATAATTATTTTTTATTTTTGACGTGTTAATTCAACATAAATACTCATTACAGTTTTGTTTTTCAAGTTTTCCTTCAAGATATTTGTAATTTTTTCTTGATGGTTTGATGATCTGACAATAAATCATATTTTGAATTTTGTTTGGGATAAGAATCACTTAATTCTTAGAAAATCAATAATGCCATCTTCGGGATTCTAAAAAAAAATATTGACCTGAATTTTTTTAAACAAAAGATTAGATTTCATTTTATTGTTGATTACCAAATTTTGAAGCTGTTCATTATGAAATGTTCTTTCAAAGAACATAGTTGGTTCATTGGGGCATCATATAGAATATTTCATATTCATTACAATAAATTAACATTGTTGAAATGGAGACAGATCTTGAAATAAAATGAAAATATTTTTCAAAACGACATAAGTGGCAGAAAGTCTTTACTATTTGATGAAATTAAAAACGATACTAATTCAAATCATTCTGGATGTCTGTGGCTTGCCCCATCTCACTAGTGTTGAGACAAATAATTACATTATAATGGAGGTACTTGGTGTGACACAGTGACTTGATAGAGCAAAGATAATTTTCCTATGGTATCACCATTAAAATAATTCCTGAGCCGCATGAGTCTTGATATTGAGTTGAAATATCCATTAGTTGTATGATGAGTAATTCTCAGTCAGACAAAGTAATTGAAAGATCAGAGTTTATATCATTGCTAATTTTTTTTAAAAAGATCATTTGTAATCCTGCATTCCAATGAATTGAACGGATTCAAAGAATTCTAGGTGGTTCCATACAAAAAAATTTTTTGTATGTACAAATATGTAAAACATTATTTTCAACCCATTCTATTCTATGTACATGAACAGTGTAATGAATAAGTTGATGACTTACTAATTGTTGAAGTTCATGTGAGGAACAGTGGTAAGATGTTTATTGAAAATAACTTCTAAATCACCAACTGCTAGTCGGTGATTTAGACAACTTGAATAACAATGGTTTTTATGGAACTTCTGATGTAACTGTAATAAGACGTGATGTGAAATGCTTCAAACTTACAATTTGTGTCTTTTGAGTGGATAAATTTCCATCCAGGGTCTCAAAATTATCCGGATGCCCAAATTTCTGTAATTTGATTACAGAAGATTCAACCAGTATAAAACCTTAGCTGTCGTCCAAGAATCGAAACTACTATTGCTGCGAAACTTGGACTAAACTGATGCCTCAACTCTTTCGAAAAATCTTTCATTACCTGAGTTGTTTTTGTGTTGTTGGTAATTTATTTTCTTCCCTGACCTCAACTAGTTTCTCCATAGTTCGTTTTGTTTGATAAACCCCTCCATGATGGAAGCAATAGGTTGTATTCAGTTCTATATCACTTAAGTGTTTTAATTTACTAATACAATTTTAAATAAAATATTATATTGTGATTAATGGTATTTGTAAATTGTGTTTTTTTTGTCTTCTATCAATATACTGTATTTACATTCCAAGTCATTCCATTTTATACAACATACATAATGTAAAAATTTTAATGAAATACGAAGTAACAGGTTTAACTATTCAGGTATATTTAATACTAGAACCCGAGAAATAATAAACTTATTACGAATTAATTGATCATCAAACCAACTCCAATTGTAATTATTTGAGAAGATTAATTGATTCCAGCTGATTCAAAATTATTGTAAAAATGATTTAGATTACATATGATCTAGCCCCAAGAATTGAATTGAAAATCATTGAAGTGATTTAAATTTGAGTGTTATTTGATTTTGAAGTACAATTTCAGCGCAGTGTTTACTTCAAGAACTAACCTCAAGATGACTGAAAATATAATTTATTTTATTACAGAGAAATATATAAGGAATTGATTGAAGTGTGTAAAGTGACTCAATAGTAATATCCTTGGGAAATTTACGAAACCTTTGTAGATATGCACAAACGACGGGGATATATACTTGTGATTACAAATGTAATTTCTCTGTAACTTTAAAATGTAAGATTTATTGCACAAATCTTTGACGATTTGTTGATAGCTGAAAACGATAACGCTGAGAGTTCACTTAGTATGCAGATTTGAAATTGTATTATAGATGTTTATAAGCATAGATATACTGTGTGATCATTGATATTTATTTATTTACATTTGTATAAATGGTTATGTTATGGTTTATTTAATTCACCAACAAAATATGTGAGATCAAACATTTAATTAAATATCAAATAAGTATTATTCTGATTTTCCTATTGTATATTATTTTCGTGTAGTAGAAAAATTTCAGTTCCTGAAGTATTATATCGATTTCTAGTATCTAATGGCGATTGATATTTGAAAATACTCGAAAAAAAAGAAGGCTTCCTAACTATATTCTGTGAATATGTGAATCTTTACTTCAAGCAATCTTCTCTGCTCACAAATATTTGTTAAATATTAGTCAACATCATTCTAGTTTTTTTTTCTCTGACAGTGCTCTTTATTATATTATTTATGTAACTTGTAAGCTATTTTGCTCCTTGAAAACATTTTATTTAGATGCCTCAATTTGCCTGGCTGAATACAGTGTTTAAAGAGGATATAAAATAATGTGTATAAATGAATTGGATTTCATTTGGATTCCAATTGAACACACAATGTGTCACATCGAGTTTCATTTAGAAGATTGTGATGAAGGAGTGAAGTTATCATAACATATTTGAATAAAAGTTTTACAAAACAATGTATTGGACTTTCTGATATACTGGATATCCAGTAAAAGCATGATGTATCGATATTAGATTTTTTAAAATTGAATGAGATATGAGATCTGGCGGGTTCTACCAAAAGAGTTCTTTTAAAAAATATAAGATTGTATAGGTATACACCGAGCGGTTCAGAAGTTATTCCAAAAATATTGCCAAAAAAATTAATATTCAACCGTCCCCATTTTAACGAAATTTCATTTGAAAAGTAAGTTTTGTTGTGAACATGTTTTCATCTTCAAATTATAATTTGACCAACAACTTTCTTAATACTGGAAACCTGAAAACAATTTTTTCATCCGAATGGATACTTTATATTTTATTTTTCATTTGTTTTCCCAGTGAAAAAAATCTTTCTAAAAGTATCGTTGAACGAGTATATACCTAGCAGTTCAAGTAAGTTCTACCATGGAAACAGGCAAAACAAAGTTAATCTCAGAAAGAGATTTGGAATAATTGTTTTTTTTCAAGGAAACGTCATGTTATTTGTGATAGATTCCATGTTGTGATTCCATAGAAAACTAAGTCTGAAAATTTTCGGCCTTAATGAACCTAGTCGACGATGTCAGCTTTTTGTAGATAATTTTCACATGATTTTTTATGTTCGATAGTCTTTATGTTATCAAGATTGAGTCATCTGAACAAACTCTCATTATAAACAATCTCTCCATTACATATATATGGAAGGATTGATCACCTGAATGTCTATTAATTTGTCTAAGATTTGTATAGTAGGTTTGCCATTGGTTTAATTTTTTGTGAGATGAGTAATTTAAACAAAAGATGTTTCTGATATATTTTATGTTCTTTTTCATTCATTATTTCATATTGTGAGAAATAATTCAAACAAACGAACAAAGAATTTGTATTTCGTGTATGAAAAATCATATGCTTACTGCTGCCTTAATATTTGTAATTGTATATAAGTGTAAATTTTATTCATTGGACGTTTGATGTATCTAACGATACAAAATCAAAAGATGTGTACAATTTTAAAGACTGTTGATTGTGTAGTGATTTTAGATAAATTAATAATTGTAATGAATATATATTCAAAAGTGTAATCAATATAAAAATATATGTGCAAGAACATTTTCAATTCTGTTTTTTTTTAACGAGTTTATCTGATAACTAGCTGTTTCTCCATACAATTGACAATCTTCAGAAGTTGATACTTGTGCAAGAATCATCAAGATCTTAGAATTTTTTCGGTATTAATAGTTTCAACTAGGCATTAATTCAAAATTGCCAATAAACGAAAAATACAGTTCTTGTGAGTATAACCTTAGGTTCGAATATAACATTATATTGATAAATCATAATGTGTTTCATCTAAGTATCAAATATTATTCAAGACTTAGAAGATCATGTACGGGATTATATAGAAGAGAAATATAAAGGTTTGGGCCATAGTTTTATTACCTCTGAAATAGTATCAAGTGGACGTTTCACTGTAGTCTCGATGAATGGTAAGGTATGTATTTCAACTGAGTTTTCAGAAAATCGTAGCCATCTATAAACATTTTCTCAAACCCAGTGTCCAGATCTGTATGTCATTGGCGAATACTACATTGCTATTGAACGAAAGTAATGTTTTGAGGAGGAAATCGGAGTTTTTATAAAAGGTGAAATACCCAAAGAAGGTACTCGTGCTAGGACTCGCACGTTAAAAGGAAATACCTCGTTAATCCTTAGCTCACATTAGTTTACACTTCTGAGAGTTGTCCTTCGTAGGATGGCGACAGCTGGTTAACGGAAAAAGAGATTTCAACAAATTTTTTACAACAAGTCGATGAAAAACTACATGCTATTTTCAAGATTCACATACCGCAGTTGTGGTAAAACGAAACGTTTGGAGATAAAGGTTGCAAGTGATGTTCGTGTCTCCATTCAGGCGGATGGATCCTTTCTGTATGAAATTCAGCAGCTTCAGGGTATGCTTGAGGGAGGAGCTGCATAAATGAGAATACTCTGATCTGAGTTTTATAACGCATCAAAATTTACTGAGGTGTGTGCAGTTTTCTGGTTCTGAACAGTGTTCCAAGCTTTTGAGAAGCAGCTTTTGCAATTCCAGCGACATGATTGTGCCGAGAAATATTGGAATCCAACTTAACCCCCGACAAACTTATCGAAACGGAAAGCGAAATTATCAGTCCTGACATTATTATATCCGATGCCTGGGTTTTCGTGGTATTGAATCAAACCCGGTTATTTTCAACCCAATTCGAAATCACCTCTAGATCCTCATTAAGATATGCAACCTCCTGCTACTGGTGAAGATATGGAATCCAGATGGAATGACGAGAAAAGTGTGCTGTCGTCAGCAAGGCAATATATTGGATTCTTGGTTTTTTCCAATAAATCGCTGATATACAAAAAAAGGGGATTGGAGACAAAATGGATCCCTAGGGAAAACCAGCGTTCATGGTAAAAGTATTCAGCACATATCCATCGACGGCCACTTGCAGGGAACATTCTTTCAGGAAGCTAGAGAGCCATATACAAAAATTATCCGACAAGCCGTAGCATCAAAGTTTGACCAGTAAACCCTCATGCCACACACGGTTGAAGGCCTCAGAAATATCAAGCGCAACAGCTTTTGACTCTCCATGTATCTCGATTGCGTTATTTCCAAATTTCATTCCAAAGAAGGTGGCCTGTTGGTCTTTGTTTCCAAAAGCCATATTGATGATTGCTCAAGATGTTGAAGCTTTCTTAATATTTAAGGATATGGTGGTTTACAGCTTTTTCCTTGATTTTTTACGTCACCGATAGCAAAGCGACAGGTCTATAGTTATTTGCCCTTTTTGGGAATAGGCTGAACGCGAGCATCTCCCAACAAGAAGGAAAAACCCCTTCCTTGTAAGACAGGTGAAAAACTCTGTGAAATACTGGTGCGAGTTTATTGGTACACTTTATAAGTACGGTGACGGGTACTTCATCAGGACCAGACACCTTGTTGATATTAGTCTGTTTCAATATTCGCCTGACTAGTGGATATTTGTGTATTTTTTCAGACTCAACGCTCGTCACACAATTATCTATATAAAAACTATTTAAGATCTTCATCTAATTGGAACGAGAATACGAATAATTTTGAAAGCTGGAATTTTTGAGATGACATCTAAAATGTCGCACCAAAAAAAAACGGTTAGCAGATCCCGGCAAAAACAACTCTGCGATTTCGAAAAATTCGAAGTGAAGTTAATAAAACCAGAGGAATCTTAAAAAATTTTTCTATTGCTTTGACACTTAGTTGAAGGAATGCCTTTCGAATATCAGAGAACACCTATCTTAGACAATCGGAATCGAATAGAATTGACCCCATCAATTCTAAGTATGAAATTTTTTCCTTTGTCCAAGCATTGATTCAAAGATGGCTGATTTTTATCCTTTGCCAATGCATCAAAGACTGGACGTAATTTGATTGTGGTACAGGTTAATTTCAATACATGCCTATGAGGTAAATAATGACATTCATCGTTTAAATCTTCTATAATAATTTCTTCAATCACTTCTTCATTCATCCATTTATTCATTACATCATTGTACAATAGTATCCGTAATGACTTACAAACTTTTGTTACGTCAGTAGGTATTCGTTTTTTCCATCAATGTCCATCCTAATAGAGTTTCTAGTGCTACCAAACCACATTTTAGAATATGTTTACGCCCTGTGAATAGTTTACCAACGATATCAGCTCCTATGAGAACTTGTATAGGTTCATCATTGGTGTCGTTGATTTCCATACGGAACTGATTAATTTCAGTTTTCCAAGGGTCCTGTACGATCTTTGTGTGCAAAGTGCAAGAATTGCATTTACCGGATACCCTGTGAGTCCGGAAAATCCTATATTGGTGAAACTAAGAGGCCATTGAATGTTCGCATTGCCGAGCACAAGAAACACACATAGCGAGAGGAAACCAGCAAATCAGGAATAGCAGACCATTTTTGGACTCATCAACACAACATCGAGTGGTCCCAAGCTGAGATCTTGCACAGAGAGGAACATTGGTTTAGGAGAAAATTCAAGGAAGCCGTTTACATGTTGTCCAACAACGTATTCAGCCAAGCCAGCGTAGAAATACGCAACATATGGAAACCCATCATCAAGTGAAAAATGACCAACTCCCGCCAAACGGTCATCACCCAGGGAACCAGTGAAGCGGAAAATGGAAAGCGGGGATAAGTGAAAGTACTCGAACGACCTATAAATAGTCATCTCTCGGAGGAATCAGTCCAGTCATCACCCGAAGACGATTGTAGATACTAACAATCGAAACGTCGTGAACTAACGTGACTTGGAATCTCTCAACTTTTTACTTTTATTTTCTTTTTTCATTTCTTTATTTTCATTTATTTTTGTTCAATTGTTCTATTTTACTTGTATTTTATTTCACTATTATTTCATTTCAGGTTTATTTTTGCTTAATATAATTGTTATTTTCAGCTATTCATTTTTAATTCTTCTTTTTTTAGTTGTTCCAGGGATTTCAAATCATTTTATATAGTAGACAATGGAAGTCCGAACTAGTGAAATTCATCATGAAACATTGTCAGTCACCTTCAAACAAACATTATCTTTTGGCTCGGCATATCTCACACAAATGGACATTTGTTCTTGTTGTGAAACATCAGTAGTTTCGTCAAAAAGGATTGAAAAAAATTTCGCATTCAATTCTTGCACAATTTTTTTTGGACTATTTCATCACAAATTGCAATAAGTTCATTTTGTATGGTCGGGCTTAGGTAGGTGTAGCGTTCAACGTCATATTTTCCATGTGCTTCATTAGATTTGAGTCTCCACATCTGCTTCTCATCCGTACGATAGCACGAAAGTTTCCATCATTTGTTTCTGGCTCAGGATCATTGATTTTTATAAGACCTGAGTCGCACGTACCTCTCAAAGCCAATTCCTGCCGTCCACATAATTTAATTGTTTCAATAATCGGAATGAGCCGTTTTCGATTATTTGCGCTAAGTATTAGTTATCAATCTGACTCATTATATTTGGTTGAGATTTATTATACATCTTCATAAAGTTATCAGCCAATAATACAGAAGATTTGTGATACTGGCTTCCAATATGATGCTTGAAATAATGTATAGCATCTTTCCATTTAGTGAGTGGCTTAGTAACTAAGGATTTCAATT